TTTGACTGGAGGAAGCGGATGTGTTTTTAAGTACCTTGGAATTAATATTGTCAACACCACACGATGTAGACAGCTTTAGACCGTGTATAAGTTTAGATATGCCTTCAACAGTAACAGTAATAGGAGACATGAAGCAGTACTCACGATCGGGGACACAGGGAACCGAAGAAAAGTCTTCATTAGTAAAAACCGAGCAAAAAACGAATTGAAGGTTGAAGCACACTCAGATGCAGAGACAGGAACATTATTGGCGTTATGTAATGTACAAATGTCACTGCCACGGTCAGGCGAAATGGCACGCCAAAACTTTTTAGGGTTAATCAAAAAAATATTTCTTTTTCGCTTCGCTAATCGCAAGACAGTAAGATTTTAAACAGTCTTTATACATAGACCATGACTTAAAAGATGATGACCTTTTAGCTGAAGCATATAACCTTTTCTTTTTATTTCTGAGCAATCTAAGCGATTTATTAAACCATGGGTTGAATTTGTCGTTAGAGATTGTTATTAGTGGAACATATTTATCTATGAGGAGCGCTATAATGTTTCTAAAGGTATTCCAGTTATCCCGAACAGACCTGTTGGTGAATGTGGGAAGAAATGTATTGTGTAGAAAGACATCAAGTTCAGAGTTCATTAGATCGTAATTTGCCTTGCTATAATCCCTGATTACCTTGCACTGAACACCCTAAAATTTTAGTGGAATATTAATTGAAAACTGTAGAAGGTTGTGATTGCTAAAACCATCTAATTGCACAATTGTACCTATGGTATGTGGCTCTGTTGTCAGAATAAGATCTAAAATAATAGTATCGCGAGTGGGCTCTGAGACAAGCTGGGTGAAATTAAAGTCAAGACATAGTTCGATGAATTCACTTGACGTACTGTTCGAAGAAGACGTGCGAGACCAATTAATATCAGAAAAATTAAAATCACCGAATGAGTAAATTTTTCTGGTGGGAAACAGGTCAAGAGCCCTGGAAATACTTCTGTGAAGCTAAGACACGAAAAGGCGGTCAGAGGACGGAGGGCGATAGCATACGCCCATCAATAATTTTCAAGCTAAGGTAGGACAGGCGACCCAGACTATATCAAGGGGAGTGTCAGTATCGACAAGGAAAGAAGATATAGTTCGTTTGATGGCTAACAGCACGCCGCCACCCCTTTTATGTGCCCGGTCATGGCGATAAACGGAGTACCGATTTGAAGCATGATATAGCTCAGTGTCGCATATGTCAGCGTGAAGCCAAGTCTCGGTTAGCAATAGAATATCTGATTTACTGTCCTCGAGATATGAATCAAGCAAGACACGTTTCGGTAACAAACTGCGAATATTAGTAAATGATGCTGAAAGTGAAGGAGAACATGAAGTAGACGGTTGCTGAACATTAGCACTGCGTACATCGGCAACTAGCAATCTAGCGGTTACTACGGTGTCAGAACAAATGTCATAGATATATGTAGTATTATCGATACGAAGTTTGTCGACATTCAGTTTGAAAGGACAATTCCGTTCCCTAACAAACTGAAGCAGTTTCCTGCGCGCTTGCCGTGTTGCTTGCGAAAAATTTTCTCTAATAGAGAAGCCAGTATTTTTCAGCCGATGTGCACCAGCGAGGATTGCTTGTTTGTCTTTAAAAAACGTAAACTTGGCAATTATCGGCCTACATTTGTTTGAAGCAAATTTACCCAGCCGGTGCACACGTTCATATTGAGAACTGGTAGTGGTGATCGCTAACTTATCTGAGCATACCGCGATAATTTTATTTTCAGAAGTTTCCCAGCTTTCTTTGTCCTCATCGGGAATTCCAAAAAACAACAAGTTGCACCGTCGCATTCTATTTTGCGCTTCATCACACCTTGATACTACTGCTTGAAGCTTATCAGAAATAGAACCAATAGCACCATCAGCAAAGTTGGATGACGGAGGGGCATTAGAAACCAGCTTTGCTTCCAGAATGACCACTCTCATGGTCAAGCTTTTGATTTCTTTATCAGTAGCATCCTGTTTTTCTTTTAGCCCCTTAATTTCACCAATTATTGTATTCTGACCCGCTTCCAGCCTACGCACTGTGTCAAGAACAATTGCGAGTGTTTCCTCGACGCCAGGGCCGGGATTAGATTCAATGTCATCTGAAAGCAACAACAACAACGATGCAAACTTCCGGCGCAGACATAAAAGAAACAGCAATGTACGGAACATATTATCACGCAGGTCAGGAGGGCACGACACTGCAACAAGGCAGTAATTGCTACTTTTTAAATAGGAAGCATCTTTGAAGTAACCAACCTGGAAATACAGCAGCGGTAAGCGTCCCATCCCTTCAAGGGTGTTGTGCCCGACCTATGTCCATTTCCTCTTCTTGATTTCAACAAACAATATCCTTAACCCCAGTTTGTTCCCTGGTACACTCTGCTCTTTTCTTGTCTCTTAAGGTTACACCTACCATTTTTTCCCATTGCTCGCTGCATCGTCCTCTATTTAAGCTGAACCCTCTTTGCAAGTCTCCAGGTTTCTGCTCCATAGCTAAGTACCGCCAACTACGATATCCTTAACCCCAGTTTGTTCCCTGATCCACTCTGCTCTCTTCTTGTCTCTTAAGGTTACACCTACCATTTTCCTTTCCACTGCTCATTGTGTCGTCCTCAATTCAAGCTGAACCCTCTCTGCAAGTCTCCAGGTTTCTGCTTCGTAGCCAAGTACCAGCAAGATGCAGCTGTTATACACCTTCCTCTTGAGGGATAGTGGCAATCTACCTGTCATGATTTGCATGAGTATGAATAACGAACTAGCCCACTAAGCTACTTTATTCAGTAGCACAGTCGAAACTTTTTTCAAGGGGAGGTGGGGGGGTGGGGCGGATTTAGGGGCTCAACCATACTTACGTATGTTTGTACATGCATATTTATATACATGTGTATACACATATGTGTACATGCATATGTGTACATCTGTATACCTGTATATATACACATGCAAATTTGAAAAATTTGGGGGGGCAGAAGCCCCTCCACAAGGCTATACCAGTGTCAAGGCTTGTTTGGTATGATAACAGATCCACACAGTGCTACAAAACTGACACCCAAAAAACCTCTTCATCACTGAAAGCATAGCATAGTACTCACATTAAAATGTGAAAATTCAGCATTATGTAATACTTTCATTTCCAGCAACAGCTTTTCAGCACACTCAGTAGAACAACACTTTCTCCTCATTTGACATATTGCACAAATGTTAAAATTAGTGAAATATCTTTTACTCAGCTATCTGGTAACATGCCAGACATGTAGCGAGTGTTTAATTTCAGGAGTGGTGCAACACTCCAATGTATGCCTGTAGCCAGGTTGGGGAGGCTAGGGGCCCCTTCCGGAACTGAGAGGGGGGGGGGGGGTACCATAATAAATAGGAGTTTTTAAAAACCTTCGTGCCCCCCTCCCAAAAAAGTTTCTTGGCTATGGGCCTGTCCTAACATGTATGTGCATTTGTGTAGATATACATATGCATGCATAAAGCGCAAGATGCAAGAATGCCACCACCCAAATTTCGTTTCACGGAATAATTTCTTAAAAATACCAAGCCTGTTATCATAAGTAAGGTTATTATGGGCCTGTCCTAACATGTATGTGCATTTGTGTAGATATACATATGCATGCATAAAGCGCAAGATGCAAGAATGCCACCACCCAAATTTCGTTTCACGGAATAATTTCTTAAAAATACCAAGCCTGTTATCATAAGTAAGGTTATTGCAAACACTATTGCAAATGTGTCATTCACTACTATAGCTCATACAAATGTTCCTCTTATAGGTGCACTTTCAAACTTCCCACACCAACACCTTACAACATCACACAGCATGAAAAAATTTCGAAGTGTTGGTAAATCAGAGATTTACAAGAACTAAACCTAAATATTTGTTAAGTTTTTCAGTGCAAAGGTCACCAAAATGAAAAAGCACCATGCGATTTCTGATGTTACACTAATATAAAAGTGCGACAACAAGGGTGAGAAATTTGTGAACAAGAAGCCTGGCCTTAGACTTATTCTCTAGCCATGAATGTTTACATTATACAGTTGAAAAATGTTTTGAAAGAATATTCAGCTCCCTTAACTGATTTAGCATTTTTAAGAAGAATTTCTTTAAGGCTGTCGCAGTAACTATTGGATTGTGCAAGAGGAATTATACATGAACTAGTCTAAAGTTCCATTGCTGCTATGATCTCCCAACGGGTAAGAACAATGTGACTAGACTACTGTCCAACATGACTAACACCGACTTCCCTTTTCCTCTTGTGGTAATCCATGCAACATTGGGGACAGAATGAAGCGATTATGAGTTAAGTATTTACTAGGGGAGTACAAACATCAAACCGAGGAAAAAATTCCATGTATTCAACAATTTTAATAAAATGTGGCACTGCTTACAAATAGAATAAAACTGTCGTGCAACGCATGCTCAGAAGTTTAATCCTACTTGATTCCCAAGCATGTAGCTAACTGTCTGTTGCTTACAGGTATCTGGGAATCAAAGTGTGACATGATTGACTCTTACTATTGTGAACAACAAATTACTATTTACAGTAGTAAAACACGTTCTGGCCGTGTGTTCGACATTCTCGAAATTAAAAAATTGTGCAAAAAAATGGACACGTTCACAAACGAGGGTACACGAAGAAACACGATTTCTTGCGCTTGTCCCTGTACCCTCACTTATAAACGTGTCTTTTTTGTGCGTTTTATTTTATACTATTTACCTACATGCAATTTACTTGCATGCAAGGCCCTGTTTTTGACACCCTTCTTGGTTACTCTGTAAAATAATTTTGCAAGCATGTCAGACGCACGCAGTGCAACCACATATTCCACATAAGCAAGACACATTATAAATAAAACGTGGGCACAAAAAGTAGAAATATTAAACTTACATTTTCCACATGAGAGGTCGTATTTAAAAGAACCAAGCTATTTGCAAACGCCATGACCAAGAAAACAACAATTCTTTCTACAGATTTACATAATTTTATTTTCCTTTTGAGAGCAAACGATTGTATTACAAAGTCAGTTTCATAGAACATACTCCCTGTAAGGCACTGCACCCAATCCAGTGTTCTAAGAATAGGTGTAGCAGAGCTCCTTGAAATTGTATGCTTGGGATTAAGTATGAAGTGACGCGCAGCATTGGACGCATGAATATCAGCTCGTACTCCAGCAAACTTTATGGAAGAGCGGTGCACATTTTTGCCAAGCAAGTGCAGCAAAACTTCTCCAAGCAGCAAAATCAACACCAGGAAACTGTTTACGATAGATTTTTCAGATTTATAAGAAAACACACGCACACAGCACTGTTTCCTTTTCAAGTGTTTCATCTTTTTGCACTGGTAAATCTGTTAAGCATGAACCAGCTTACCCAAGCAGCAGTTTTACTGAGAAACTGGGCAGAATTTTTCAAAACACACTGGGATTATTACCAATCGCATCATTTACCTGGCATCAACATTGACGTCATTCAATGGCCATTGAGCATCTGCATTTCAGTGTGCACAACCACACAATGTTCACAACATTGAGGGCAACACTGCAGAAGCTACGCAAATAGTGAAATTATAAAAGTGTCACATCACACATTTTTATGCAATATCCAAATTTTGGTACTCCTGTTACTTCCTATGGGGTGACTAGTTCTTATGGATGTAATGTTGCATATATCGCATGTAATTTTGAGCAACACGTTTGACAGCCAATCAAAATGCAGCATTGTGGCCAGCTGGTCAAAAAAACATGCCACACTGCTCATTTGACCGAAACTTCAGATCTGCAACACCTTCCATGCAAAAGTACTGTGTGTTGCATTTGGTGGCATAAAACTTACGCTGAATGGAATGACGCATAGCAACATTTTTCTTTCATACCTGTTTCACTTTCAATTGTCAATGTGAGCTATGGGAGAAGTCTCTAGCTTCTGAGGGATAACAGCAAAGGAAGCATTAGCTTAATCCGCCAGCCAATATATTGGCTCCACTTCCTCCTATGTTAATGAGCAATGAGCAGTGATAAATTAAAGTCCGTTTTGACATTCCAGTGCACCTATCACCTTCAAAACACATTTCATATCCTTTAAGTTGTATATGAAGTTTCCTTATGCCTCAAACTGGGAACATGCCAACTCAACTAACATACAAGTGTTTAAAAAGCTTTTGAAGCACTTTATGGAAGATAAGATAGCAAATAATAAAAACTTTTGACACTTGGCAGTTTCAATAAAATTTAGATAGGATTAGCCTAATACTACTAATGATGATAATGTGTGGTGTTTTATGGCCAATAAAGAGAGTCATTGCATGAGACAACAGATGTGGACAATGATTATGGTATGTGGTTGTTAAGAGCTTTAAAATTCCAGGCACTAAATCAGGTAAATCATGAGTGTGACGTGAAATGTGTGTTGTGAGAATGAATGTCGAATGGTCATGATAATGATTATATGTTGGAAATGATCAGAAACTAATATCACCACCAGTTTCTGCACCATGATTTGTCTGAGTGTCAAACATACAAATGAAGTTACAAAATAATTTATGAAAACATGCAGAAAACATTTGCTTTGGTTCAAAATCACAGTTCAGATGTCGTCAACATTCTTGTTTCAGGCTTGCTCAGAAACGAAGTGGATAATGTAGCGGTCATCTAGAAGTAACAATATTCCACAGCTGGCTATACAAATGCAGCCGGTCACCCTGCGTAGAACACCATGTATGTCAGTTTCATATGTAAACATATAATGGATCACAAAGACATTATATTTAAAAGAAACTTATACAACAGGAGTTACAAAACAAGAGTGCATTGAGTACAATCGGATAAAGCTTCCACCAAACATAGTCAGTTAAATGGGCTTTGCAGCCCTTTTCCCGAATGATTATTAAATGATCTCACTTTAAACATTTATATTGCCTTATCATTATCTTCAGCATAACTTTTTCAAATTTTTTCAAGTACATACTATGAGCTAAGTTTCATGGTAGCAAGCAGTGCAAAAAACAAGATGGGCACAAAGGAAGAATAGACAAGAACAAGCATAGACTTTCAACCATCTTTGACTTCTAATTAAAATATTAGTTGAAATTCAGAACTTGTTTTTGTCTTTTCTTCCAGCGTAACCCCCCCTCCCCCTTTTCTTTTCCATGCTGCTTGCTACCGTAGATCCACACATATAGGCCCAGCTATCTGTACTTAAACATAAGCTAAGCTGTCGCAAACTCTGAGAGATTTTTTTTTTTTTTTTCCTTCACAAGAATGACCTTGCTGCAGGCTAATACGGAGGTGTGATGGTGGTACCCCATGGCAGTTGCAGCAACTACATATGCAGCCCAAGAAGGGCTATTGTTGTGCGAAACTGTGGTTAAGCTCCACAAATAACTCATGTGCACACCAGTGCTGTTGTCCTGCATCACGTTGACCATCAGATAGTGGAGAAACCCATCTAGCAGATCTTGAAGCGAATTCAATAAGAAATGGTCTGAACACTTGGTACAGATAGCACGTTTCATTAGGAGGATTATGACACCAGTGACTGTCTATAGCAGAGATTGTTGCCAGCGTCCTATCCCAGGAAAACTAGGAGAAAGAAGTGACCCTTGTAGAGGATACAATAAAAATTTCAGATGAAGAAGCACTGATATGGTACTTAAAAAAAGTGAGGCCATTTGCTACTTAGTACCAGAGAAGCTTAGTGAGAGCTTGGACAACCGTGACTGAATGTATTGACCGCTGCAGTCCTAAGTTCAGAAGTGCATCAAAAGATTACTACATTTTTTTACCGCGAGCACCGTGAATTTTGGTATTTCTATATCTACCTCGAGGATTCGGCGCAAATTCGGTTTGAGAACCACGAGGCTGCCCTGACAAGCTGGCCGGTGTTTTGCACTCACCTGCAGAACACGAATGGTGGCACCGACTGGAAAGCACAAGCAAAATGTCTCCTCAATTCTCGCAATCAAAGACCAAATGAAAGTGTGGCCATGTTCGTTGCCATTCTGTTCCGTCGAGCTGATTCCCCGATGACTTAAGAAGGTACGCTTTCTGATGCAGGGTGTCAAGGAGCAGTTGTTTGCAGGACTTGTGGGAAACCCACCAGCTACCGTGGTGCAATTTCTTTGTGAAGCGATAACGATTGAGCGAATGCTAAGACCGGTTTTTGCAATATGAGCGGCCGAACAACCTTGCATGTCTGTAAGCACCCTTGGCAAGACACGACGTCACAAATGTGAGAGACCTTGCTAAGCTAGTCCCTGGCATTATACGCAACGAGCTGCAAAAGCTCTGCGCAGTGCCTTCACAGCCTCAAGTGGTTGCTCTGACAGACGCCATCCGTGAAGAGGTACGGCAGCTGGTACGACCATTAGTGGCACCTCCTGCCGAAGCTCCTCTGCTAACGTATGCAGAAGCTGTGCGCACTTCTGCACCAGCAGTTAGCTATTTATCGACCAGCCTACCGTCACCGTAATACTTCTCTGGCCCACCGCACTATGAAAACCCACGACCGACCAGCCTGCAGATACCGCAGAACTTCTCGGGCCCGCCACACTATGAGAATCCGCGACCTAATGTGCGGAAATCTAGTGTGTGGCGCCACTTCCGACAATTGGCCACTTTGCTGCCACTGTGGTCAGATAGGTCACTTGTATCGAGAGTGCTCGTACAGATAGATGGGCTTGCCTGGATTTCGGCCAGACGCTCGTCGGCCCTGAGAGAGTGAATGACCACGAGCTATTGCACAGTACTTTGGCAAGCCTATCGTCTTCGACTCTTCGGCGACACCAATCATGCTTCCGTCTCTTCAACGCTCTACATCCCCGTGTCAGTACTCCACTTTCGCTGATGTTGCGAGACGATCGGCTAGGTCCCCAAGCCCATGCCGGGGAAACTGGGAACAGTGGCCTCCAGGAGTGGGACCGCTGTTAAGCTATCGTTAAAACATCCTCCCCGAACCATAAATCAGCCGACGACAACTCCTTTCAGCTGACGCCCCTAATCGCCGACCAACCCGTTTCTGCTGACACTGCCGTTTTTATCGACAAACATGCGGCAACTGCTCTGGTCGACACTGGCGCTGACTCCTCAGTTATCAGCACTGAACTTGTGGCTGAACTCGGAAGGCTATGACTTCTTGGGGGCATGGACCAAACCTTCGGACAGCAGGAGTTCACTTCTTGACTGCTATCGGGAGATGCACCGCAAGGCTGCAAATCTGTGAGTCGACGTTCATTACTTCTTTCATCGCGCTTGTCAAATGCTCCCGTAACGCTATCCTTGGCATGGATTTTTTTTGACGAGAACAGTGCTGTTATTGATCTTCGAGACTGCTTCATAACGTTTGCCAATGACCATGCCCTGAAACCTAGATATACCAATCCGAAGAGGACTGGGCTTCATGTTGTCGACAACATCTTCACACTTCCGCCACGAACCAGCATGTTAGTTACTATACAGAGCAATATAGATCATGGGAGTAGTGGTATGGCTGAAGCAAACCTTTCGGTGCTCTTAGCTCGGCAAATCTGCGTTGCCCACAGCATAATCCAATTTAAACGTTGGATGACTGAGTTGTTGGTCACCAACTTTAGCGGAGCATACCAACATTTGGCCAAGCGAACTGTGGCTCATTTTAAACCCAGTGACGATGAAGCGTGTACGACATTTGCCCCATTTCCGCAGCCATAACAAGTGACACAGCAGTAGCCGATACAGTCAATGTCAATCCAAAACTGTCATGTGCGCAGAAAGAGCTGTATTCTTTACATGTTTAGCGACAGTTTCGTGTCTACATCCAAAATAAAGGAAACATCGACCGTAAAGCACCACATTGTAATAGACCATGCTGAACGAACCATATGCCAGGATGCCTACCGAGTGTCACAAAAGGAACAAGGTGCCATACGTTCGCAAGTGAAGCAGATGCTTGAAGACAGCGTAATCTAACCCTCGAACAGTCCATCGTCGTCCCCCTTGTACTAGTAAAAAAGGACGGCACTCTTCGATTTTGCATTGATTACCGCGATCTCGAAAAAGTGACAATGAAAGACGGTTACCCTCCTCCGCACATGGACGACTCACTAGAACGCCTCTGACGCGCTCGATACTTCTCCTCCATGAATTTACGCAGTGGCTACTGGCAGATCGAAGCTGATTAATGCAACCGAGAAAAAGCAGCACTCATAACTCCTGATGGTCAGTACGAATTTAAGGTGCTACCATTCGGTCTGTGCTCTGCTCCTGTGAAATTTCAGAGGATGATGGATACAGTGCTGTTCAGTCTCAAGTGGGAAGCATGCCTTGTTTACTTAGACGACGTCATTGTCTTTTCACAAACATTTAATCCGCACTTGAAGTGGCTTCGGTCTGTCTTTGTTGCAATTCACACGGCAGGCCTATCACTAGAACCAGAAAAATGTCATTTTGGTTACAACGAACTAAAGTTCCTCGACCACCTTGTTAGCCACGATGGTATTCAAGCGGACCCAGATAAAACATTACCTGTCGCTGATTTTCCACTACCTGCCAACAAACATGATGTGCGTCGGTTTTTAGGCCTCTGTGCATACTGTCGAACACAATTATATCTAACCCGTAGATATATCGAATTTGCGGGTATATGGAACTCGTAAACTATCCCCTTGAAATTCATTTGTAAAAGTATATAAATTCACACGTTTATATCGAAAGGTACTTTTACCCGCCTTTGGATATATGAAACGCTCTACGAGCTAGAAGGTGCGCTGCAGCACTCACCGCGCCCGCTATCTTCACGGCAGCACCGTTCCGCACGAGAGTTAGAAGGCGCGTTTTGGCACTCGCAGCACCCAGCGACCTCCGAACGGCACCACGCCTTCGCCAAAACCCGAAACGCTCGAAAAAAGGTAAGGGCGAGAGGGCTCGGACTGCACAATCTTTAACTTGCGGAATGGCTTTTTTTTTTTGTTTCTCTTTCTCTCTCTCTCATGTTTTCTTCGCGTACCCGTCTGGCTGGGAGAGCAGGAATGAAGGAGCCGAGATCCTCCAACTTTCGCCTTTTATTTTTTGTTGCTGTTTTGTGAGTTTTGATCAGCCAATCACAGCTCGCACCTTTCGCTGTTGCCCTCGCAGGTGGCCATCGCCTCGCGAGCACTTTGTCGCTTCCATTGTCGCGTCGCCACCGCACGCGCAAGCTGCAGCATTTATATTTTGCGTGCGTGGTGTGCAAAGCCGCTGCGAACTTTTTGAATTGTCGACTTCTCGTGTAGCTATGGCTAGCATGAAGAAGCACAAGACCTTGACTTTGCGATGAAGTTGAAGGCTATTCAGCGTGTTGAGGCGGGCGAGAAATGTTCGACTGCCGTGGACGACTTCGGGCTACCATGAAGTAGCAAACGTCTGGACCCTGTTATGTGCACGCTTCTGCCCATGAGAACGTAGAAAAGGCACTCTATGCCTGGTTTTTAAAAGTGTGTGTGAAGAACATTCCGATGGATGGCCCGATGCTGTTTGCTAAGGGCAAACGGTTTGCCGCTGCACTCAGTGAAACAAGTTTCCCGACAATACCGGGTGGCTTCACCAATTTAAGCGGCGCTACAACATCGTTGGAAAAACCTATTCTGGTGAAAGTGAAGCTGTCTGCAGCCAGTACTTCCAGCAGTGGATGACGAAGGAGTGGACAGAAATCTCCGCAAAGTTTTCTCCCGCGGTGATCTTCAATGCC